AATCCATTCTTAAGCCAACCAAATTCATCCCAAACCTCTCCAACACATATTTTTACACCAAACCTATTTAATACAAGTTCTAAAACCTAAAATTTTATATTTTCACTTATTAAAATCAAATTTCAACTATTACTTTCACTAACATTTTAAATCTCTACTTTTTCAATCTACCAAATTCAAACACACATCACTACATATATCCACATTTTTTTTTACCACAATTATTCACTATATATCTATATACATATATAAAAGAAAATGCGAGGTGTTACAGATAGGTTTGCGAAAGTTTGACAAATATTTGAATTCCCGTAAACGTAAAGATGATAAGACGGAAAAGATGTTCATTTAAGAAAGGTTGATATATATATATATATATATAGTTGAAACTTAAATAATTGAATATTATAGTTTATGAAAAGAAAGATTAGTAAAAGAATAGGGGAAAAATGAGATAATGAAACAATATTAAGTGTAGGGTGTATGTTGTCAACACCCTATCACCTATTTTTACGAGATTGATGTTGCTTACAATTACAATATGAGGAAAGTAGAACATAAAAGAAAAATCATACAATAGAAAAATGAAAAAATAGAAAAGTAATACTAAAGCTGGAAGAAAAGCTACTGAAGTTGTGACCGTGCCCACGATTTGATGAGAAATCTTTAAGTTGACCACGATATCTCTATGTAGACAATAAAGATGATAAAATCAAGCACTGGTGATTGCTTTGGATCATTTAGAGGCTTCTCTAATTGGTATACACAAGCACGATACTTCCCTTGTGCAACAAATTCATGAAATTATGATTATTTTGGGAAGAATAGGCATACTAGGGAGTTTTGTTGAAAGCTGATTGACCGACCCACATGTAGCTGAGGTGGTACTGTGTGATCCCATGCACACATGATTGAATCTTCAGAGTATCCATTTCAGTCTAGTAGCAATACTTCAACTTCTTTTTCCTAGTATGAGATGCAAACTCTTAGACTTTGATGTCTCAGCTTGATGTTTCGTCAACCATGGTGCCTGCTTATGCTTCTTCTTTTTCCAATTTTGCTCAAACAGGTATATCTACTTGTGCCTTTAGTATTACATCCTCATTCACTCCTTGGATAATCGACTCTGGAACCATGGATCACATGAAAGGTTTCTTTAGTCTTTTCTCTTCTAATTGTATATGTTCAAGTAGGGATAAAGTAAGAGTGGCAGATGAAACTTTATCCTCTATTTTAGGAAAAGGTCAATTAATTACTCTTCAACCATACACCTATAATCCATTCTTCATGTCCCCAATTTTTCACCTAATTGATTGTTCGTTGGCAATATTACAAGTTCCCTGAATTGTTTAGTAATCTTTTACCCTACTCATTGTATCTTTCAGGATCTAGGGTCAGAGAAAATTATTGGCATTGATAAAGCACATGGTAGTCTATACTTTTTGGATGGTGAAGCTTCTTTTTCATTCTATTAGTCAAGCACTTCAAATAGATGGTGCTTTGGTTCTACAGCTTTTACATTAGTGGCATAGACGTTTGAGGTATCCTTTATCCTTCATTTGGTTGGTGCCTTGGAAAAAAATATTTTTCAATCTAGTGCAATAGTGTAATAGGCATACCCTTGTCTGTGATGCTTGCGAATTTGCAAAGCATAAACGTTCTTCTTATGCTAGTACTAATAATAAAAGTACTGCTTCTTTTTGTCATTATTCACTCTTATGTGCGGGGACCTTCTCGTGCTATTTCTATTTCTCATTTTCATTGGTTTGTTATTTTTATTGATTGTTATTCTCGTCTTATTTGAGTTTACTTCTTCTATACTAGAAATGAAGTTTTCTTTTATTTTATTTTTTCATAAAATGGTGAATACTTAGTTTAATGCTAAAATCAAAATCTTTCAAAATGATAAGACAGAGTACATAGATGGGGAATTTCGTTCCTATCTTTATGAGAATGGCATTCTCTATTAAACCTCTTATGTGAGTATCCCTGAACAAAATGGTGTTTCTAAGTTAAAAATCGTCATCTTCTTGAGGTTGCTTGTTCGTTGATGTTCACCATGAATGTTCCTAAATTTTTTTGGGGAGATGATGTTCTTACTGTAGCTTGTCTCATTAATTGTCTTTCTTCGTCGATCCTTCAGTTTAAGGCACCTATTGGGTGTCTTTCTAGGATTTATTCTATTCATTCCATTTCTTCCCTTCCTCTTAAGGTCTTTGGGTGCGTTTGTTTCGTACATGATTATAGATTCTCTAGGAGAAAACTTGACCCAAAGGCTTAGTGTTTTGTTTTTAGTGGCTGCTCTCCTACCCAAAAGGAATATAAATGTTATCATCCCCAGATTTAAAAGGTGTTTGTTAGCATGAATGTTACCTTTCATGAAACGGATGTATTTTTTCCCCTAGTTCAGACACTTTCTAGTGATCTATAAGATAATGAACTTTCAAATGTTACTTTATTTGATGATTCTTAGCTTCCTATTGCAGTCAGAAAGGGTGTTTGAATTTGTACTCGACACCCCATTTCCAATTTTATATCTTATGATTCCTTGTCCCCATCATATCAGGCTTTTGTTTTCTCCTTATCTTCTACATTTATTGCTCTAGGTTGGAAAGAAGCTCTTATTGACCCTAAGGGGAGAGAAACTATGGTAGAAAAGATGAAGCTCTTGAGAAAGAACGACATGTGGGAGCTAGTTTTTCTTACTGTCAAATTAAGGGTAGTAGGGTGTAAGTGGGTGTTCACAGTCCAACATCAAGACGATGGGATAGTCGAGAGATATAAAACAAGGTTGGTTGTTAAGGGCTTCACCTAGACCTATGATATTGATTATCATAAGACTTTTGCCCTTGTGGTAAAGATGAACAACATATGTGCTCTATTTTAATGTGCAACTAATCTAGGTTGGGGTCTGCAGCAGTTGGGCGAAGAATGATTTTCTTCATGGAGATTTTGAAGAAGCGGTGTATATGAAAATTCCATGAGGCTTTTCATCCTAGTTAACCGAAAGAAAGGTATATAAGTTGAAGAAGTCTCTTTACGAACTAAAGTAGTCTCCCAGAGCTTGGTTTGAAAGGTTTTTCAAAACCATGTTTAAATTTGGATATAAACAGAGTCATGTTGAGTATATTATGTTCATGTTTATGATAAGATAACTTTTTTGATTGTGTATGTGGATGACATTGTAATAACTAGGAACGATGTGCAGATAGCCACCAATCTTAAAGCTTAGTCGGCTAAGGAGTTTGAAATCAAAAATTTTGATTCATTAAAATACTTTTTTGTAATCGAGGCTACTAGATCAGATAAAGGCTTTTTTTTATCTCCGAGAATGTGTATGTTCTTGACCTCTTTGAAGCAACAAGCATGTGCTTGAATACAAAAGGTGGTACAACCAAGTGCAATCGGTCAAACTGTAGTACTACTCGGTGTTGTCCATGGTCGATCCTCAGGGAATAAGTAAATTGAATAAAGTGTAAGCAAAGAACATATTTTGTAAAAGTATGATTTATTGGAAAGAAATTTGCAAAAAATAATTTAGGGTAAAAAATAATTTAATACAATGATTTTCTAGTTTTGGGACCCAGATTTGCTCATTTTATTGAAAAAAAATGTTTATGCAATATTAATTATCTTAGTTGACTTACAACCTTAGTGTAGTCAACAGGAAAATATTTCGATGAATGAACAATTAGTTTGATTTATTTGAAAATAAACCTTGAAATACTAACTAAAATATTTATAGGGAATTATAAGCAGTATTAATACTAAGAAATCAATCTTGTTGATGAATAAGCAAACAATTGTACAAACTATTAAATTTGACTAAGAACATTCAATCAATCAAATAAAGAATAGATTTAACATTGAGATTAAAATATAAATTGCCTAAATATAAAGATTCAAATAAATAATTACAGATGCATCAACCCCAACTAAAAAGTATAAAAAGACTACTCACAATTCATGGTTGAATCTCCAAGAATTGTGATAAAAAAAATAATAAAATAAGTCTAAAGGCTGCTTGTTGGGAAGAAGAACGGATTCATCTCTACACTCGTAAGGATGTATTTATAATAGGGGATTAGTGCAAGTCTTATGGATGATCTTCGAACTCCACATGTTGAAGTTGTTTATCGTATTTTGAGGTATCTCAAGTCAGCTATAGGAAAATGGATTTTATTCTCCAAGCATGGTTGAAGTTATAAGCATTTAGTGTTGCAGATTGAGCCGGTTATGTGGATGACAGACTACTTCGGACTACTGCAGCTTGATAGGAGGAAACCTTATTACTTGGCAAAGCAAAAAACAAGTAGTTGTGGATAGGTCAAGTGCTAAGACTGAATATAGAATAATGACTCATGGAATTTGTGAGTTTATGTGGCTTAAAACCTTACTAGGAGAGTTCAAAATTAATGAAGATGAGCCAATGGGACTATACTGTGATAATAATGTTGTTATCAATATTAATTATAATCCTGTTCAATGTTGAGATTGACCGACATTTTATCAAAGCAAAGTTGAGCAAGGACTCGATTTGCATGCTTTTTGTGAAATTGGAGAACCAATTGACTGATGTTTTCACTGAGAGATTTAGTAGTAAGATTTTTCATCCTATTGTTTGCAAGTTGGGCATGAGAGATATCTATGCACCAATTTAATGAAGAGTGTTAGTTATTGTTAGTTTGTATTCTAGGTAATGGGATTGACTGGTGTACTTGAATTCTTTGTTTTAAATGCTTTACATGTTAAATTCGATGAATTGTTTTGTTCAGGTAATTATCCTATCTTTCATCAGCTAAGAGTTAAGAAATCTGGCAGTGGAAGTGATAATTTTCTTCTGTCATAATGCTTGATTAGCCAAAATTTATTTATTTGCATGTACTATCTGTTGCAGAATGCTATTAGGTGCTAATTCTTTCAGTGGAGCATCCAGTGGAGCATCCTTAATTACTCTTTACGTAGCGAGATTGAAATCAGGTTTGTTTGTTTTGCTTCTTAGGTTCTAAAATCACCTTTCAAGTATATTGGATTGGAGGATGGTACATCCCATATGGAAGCGAGATATCCAGCTATCTTGTTTAAACAGCAATTAACTGCTTGTGTGGAGAAAATTTTTGGCTTGATTCGTGACAATTTGAAGAAAGAGATATCACCATTGTTAGGTCTATGCATTCAGGTTAGAGCTTTTTTTTGTGGTCAAATGATAGTGTTCTTTTTTACCACTCTTTTTTGGCTTCATGAATTGTTGGATGTGGTGGTGCTATTCTATGATGATTGGGATTGTTTTTATGAGCTGCTTTAATTGCTAGTCGAATAACCGATGATTTTGTTCTTTGCATTAATTATCATTTCAATAAATTGTGAGATGTTCTGTCTTATTGCAATGATGTAGACTGATTAGAAAGACGACGGTGAATTTGCCAGCTTGATTACAAATTAGTTGCCAAGTCTAATGCCTTTCTGGACCAACTTACATGACAAATAATGTGAAGAATATGCTCGTAGTTTTATGAAATCAGTCTGAAGAACCACTTCAGGTTGTTTTTATTATTCGTGTTATATGATCTGTCAAAGAATGAGTTAATCGACTCAATTTTTAGTGACCAATCTGCATACTTGGCGCTTTTATGCTTTTGGCGTTTTTTCATAGGCCTTTTACATGGCTAAGGTATTTTGAATGATTATAGGATGCATAAGTAGATATGCGTGCAAAATCAAGCAATATCTAATGGTTCACCAAGGATTAATTCTAGCCCAATGATTATAGGATGCACAAGAAGATATGCATGCAAAATCAAGCAATATCTAATGGTTCACCAAGGAGTAATTCTAGCCCAAGCATCTATTCAGTAGTAGGATCTCAACAACTCAAGTCTCAACTTTCAAGCCACTAACTAACAAGTCCAAAAAAAAGGTGCAAAAAGGCATGAAAATTCATGAAGGAATTAACCTGAAAGTTCCTCCCCCCCCCCCAACCCCAACCCCAACACACACACAAAGGCAATTGATCCAAAAGTTGAAGCTAACAAATTTACAAACTTTTTGAACAAAGCTTTGAATGCCTTCCAACATGAAGCTTTAGTCGTGGGCATTCAAGAAACAATGCAATATTCCACCAAAATGTTGCGTTCATAGAAACAACTCTGACATTCAAAAGTATGCCGAAGCTAATTTGTGGGGCGGAGACAGGCGAAAGAGATGTATGCCCATGATGATCTCTATGTCCAAAGTCCTTGTTGGACTCAATAACAGAGGTGGCGAGGCTATCTTCTGCCTATCAAAACACTCTTAAGCCTAGCCCCAAGAATTCAATGTTGTTTTTTCAAGCACAAAAAACACAATATTCACTCTGACGAAATGTCTCTGAAGATTAATTGTCCATCATCCAGAAACAAATAAATAAGTTCCTGTGGAATTTGGAAATGTATTTCCAAAACTAGTTATTTTTCTTAGAAATGATCCTGGTGCACCGACTTTTTTAGATGAATGTATCAGAAGTCCTTCCAATAAGGAATGTTGTAAATTTTATAAATTTAGAAAGTTGAGTCATTTAACATTGGTTTTTCCCCAATTATTAATCAACCAAGTCTAAACATTTTGAGCCAAGAGAATAAAAGCTAACCAGAGTCATTATACACATAAATGCCTACAAGTAATGCCAATAAACAAAGATAACTAATGCAAGTCAAACTGATTTTTATGATTATGAATGTTTTGACAAAGCATTATACTGCGTTTAGCTTTCTACATATATTTATTAATTAATTTGTTACACGGATGATTGTGTTGAAATTATGGAAATTGACTTTCTATTCTGTGAATATGAAGGAGTTGCTTTTTGCAATTTAACATGGGTTGAAGTTACAAAGTGCCAATTGTGGGTAACCACAATACAATTAAGATTTTAATTGCAGTTTTGATCAAATCATTGTGTATTATCTATTATCTATTGGGTCTCAGCTGATGAAATTTATACTTCTGGAGGCTTAGTCATAAGAACTCTCCTCTTGTGTATTATCTATTATCTACTGGCATAAGAACTGTGTATGACAGTTCTCTTGATGATGTTTACTTTTCTAAAAAGGAGGCGTGCACTAATTGGTTTATTTGATATTTTTTGACTATTTGGAAAGGCTCCCAAAATCCAACGAATACATGGTGGGAAGTCATCCAGATCACCTGGCGGTGTTTCTCAGCAGTCACCCAGTAGCCAGTGGGATAGCATCATCAAATTCTTGGATTCTCTTATGAGTCGTCTACGTGGAAATCATGTATGCACAAAGTTTTTTTTCTTGTTCCATAACTTGGCATTTTTTGGTTCTTTAACTGCAATTTGGAGCATTTTTTTTCATTTAACCAATATATATTTTCAATTGTGTTATTTAGTGTTAGAGCATTCAACTCAAACTCAATTGGCTATGGGTGGTGTGGCCCTTCAAGTATATAAACTAATGTTGGTGATCCTAGTTATTCGATATAGATACAAGCTTGCTTAACATCATCCCTCACGTGGGACTTGGACTCACGCGTGGGGTCAACAAACAAACAATCATGCATACCGAGAAATTCAAATGGGTAAGAGACTTGGCCCACTGACCACCCAAGGCCCAACTCTGATACTATGTTAGAGTATCCAACTCAAAACCAATTGGCAATAGGTAGAGTGACCCTTCAAGTATGACAAACCTTGATGGTCTTAGTTATTCAATGTGAAATACAAGCTCTCTTAACATTTAGTCCACTAGCTTCAATTATCCTTGTCCACCTTTTTTTTTTTGGGGGGGGGGGGGGGGGGGTGGAGAGAGAGGAGGCTTGAGCCCTTAACCTTAAGAAGGTACAACTTTCACAAGACAAAGAGTATCATTGAACCAAAGGCCCGTTGATAAATTATCCTTGTACTTGTTTAATTTTTCTTTGTGGTATATTTGAAGTTATTACTGGGTAGTTCCCAAATCAATGACGTTAATAGAGCCAACATGTCTCTGGAGGAACAACAAAGATTTTGTATACACTTAAATGATACAAGAATCCCAGTTCTAGTAAGATGTGCACTGCTTCTTTAAATGATGAGTCATTATTCCTTCTAGGTGGACAAGTCAGCAAGCCCTAGTTGGATTGCACCTTATCCTTATATATGTTGCTTATCCAAAATTCAAACCAGACCTTGAAGCTGGTTTTGCTCTTGTGCCACATGCAGCCTTTTTAATGATGATTTGGAGCCTGGATCCCATGTGGTTCATCTTTTTGCCTAAGTGCTGAGGGCCCACGGGGTTAAAATTTTCACTATTTTGGGTCAGTTCAATTTTGTTAGTCCCTAGCTGAATCACAGTTTAATTTTACAATTCGGTTAGTGTACCTCTCCTCTTGGGCTATGGGAGGTTCTTCTTTTTCTTTGTGGCAACTGAAAAAATAATATCATACACGATCTCAAGAAAAGCTTCATTTTCAGCTAAAAGTTATTCCTGTTAGCCCCAAGTGATTACTATAAAGCCAGTTCCATAGGTATTCTCCTTCCTCCAGTTGCTAGGTCTTGTCGTAATCAATAGTTTGACCTCTCTATACACGGTCTGCATTAATGTGGCTTTCTTAATTGTATTTTCAACTAAAAACTTGATTTACACTTGGCAAACCTTGCCAAACTGCCAGAATTGAAAGTTGACTCTATTTGTGTATATTATTGCCAAATTAATTTCAATGGAGCTTATGAACCTGATTGAAGCAGAACCAATCAATTTTCTGGTAATGTTCAAGTGATCTCTAATGATTGGATTGTGGATTCAAATAATGAAGAATGCCTTAACACCCCTCCCTCCTCGTAACAGAATCAATTCTCAATCTAAACAAGACTCTGTTTGGGTTGGTTAGCATTAGGAAATTTTGTCCAACGATATTGGCATGCATATATATCAAGGAAAACATCATGCAGCACAGTTAGTCCAAAATGAAATGAAAGGAGATAGATGTTGGCATTACCTTGTCTGCCAAACATATCGTGTCTGCAATTCTGAAAATAATGTAACATTGAAGTGTCCTTGTTGTATAGAAGTGACATATTGAACTCTTCTGTTGGTCTTAATCAGAACAAGTATCTACCTTTTGTTCATAAATTCTTTTCACATTCACAAATTTGGTGGAAGGTCTATTCTTATTTTCATTGTCTCGTGCATTTGCATTTAAACCTTCACTGTATAACATTGTCCATTCATACCATATGTTACGAACTAATTTACTTGCAGGTACCTTCATTTTTCATCCGTAAGCTGACTACCCAGGTTTTCTCTTTCATCAATATACAACTTTTCAACAGGTAAATATTCTCTAATTTTAGGGTGTCTCTGTGCACTTAAATTTGTCTGATAAGTTAATGGTTTATGTGTTGAGCTGAAATATTTTCTTAGTCTTCTGCTTCGACGAGAATGTTGCACATTTTCTAATGGAGAATACGTGAAATCCGGTCTGGCAGAGCTAGAAAAATGGATAGCTAATGCAAAGGAGGAGGTAAATGCATTTTTCTCTTTGCTCAGAAACATTTCTTGCGTTAAACGTCTTTATCAAGAATTGAATCATTACTGAATGCAGTTTGCAGGAACCTCTTGGCATGAGCTAAATTATATTAGACAAGCTGTTGGGTTTCTGGTATAAGCCTTGCCACTGCTATAGTGATCTTTAGTACAACAGACCTGTAAATCTGGTGTTTTACTTGTGCATATTGCAAATCATTTAGGTGATACATCAAAAGAGAAAAAAGTCCCTGGAAGAGATAAGGCAGGATCTTTGTCCGGTATGATTTATTACCGCAGCATTAGTGTTGGCTGATTATTTCGTCTCTCATTTCCTTTCTGATAGTCAACTTCAAAAGAAACCTTCAAGACTCAACTTCTATTTGGGCAGGCATTAACTGTAAGGCAAATCTACCGAATTAGTACTATGTACTGGGATGACAAATATGGCACTCAGAGTGTGTCAAACGAGGCCAGTTCTTTGATCCCTTTTTTGCCTAGCATTAACTGGGTATTACTATGTTTGGTTTGTGAAATGATTTGTTTTGCAGGTTGTTGCTGAGATGAGGGAGATTTTAAACAAGGACTCTCAAAATCTAACCTCAAATTCATTCCTGTTGGATGATGATCTGAGGTAAACTGGTTGCTCTTTTTACATTATCCGAAATAGTTCTGTATTGTATGTCTGGCAACATGTTCTGACTGGAGTAATTTATTGGTTTCCTTTTATGGATATTGCCGTACTTTTTATGTGCAACACTGAAGGTCGGTGTCCATTTTCTGGGTGTGAAGTCTAGAATGTTTTTGACCATCACAATCATACAAATTTTGTTCAGTTCTAAGCGGTCATGTCAAGAAAGTTTTGCCATTGCTAGCTAAGGAATGGTCTTGCTCCTAATGTTTCATTTCCCTGTTGCAGCATTCCATTCTCTACTGAAGATATTTATATGGCAATTCCAGCAATAGATCCGTCGGATATTGAACTTCCGTCATTCTTGGCTGATTTTCCTTCTGTACAGTTTCTTATCCACAGATCGAAGTGAATGTTCGCACCATGCATCTTCAAAGCACTATTGGTCTAGCTGGAAGTCTAGCTTAACGTAGCATGCCTATATTTCAGACTTGAGATAGTCTAGCTTTTAACGCGCAAGGATCATGGGTTTGTCAACAAGCAAAGTATATATAAAGAACCGGTCATCAGCGAGTGGTGTACTTACTTTGCAAAGTACTGGAATAGAGAAATGTTTCTTGTTCTGATAACAATTCCTTAGTCATTTATTGGGGTCAATTAGGTCATGCCTCCAGGTTACACGAAGGATTAGGTAGTGTCACAATTGTATAGGGGTGGATAAAAAATAGTTCAATCTTGTACATTATTCATCTAGTGGCAATGTATTCATGTTGTATCACTCTTGCGTTTTATTCTCCTTTTTTTTTTTTCACCCTTTCCTGGCTAGGCTTAGCCTTCCTTTTTCTCTCTTTGTGCCTTCTGTTGCTTCATTAGAGGACTGAATCAGCTTCAAATTTTGTCCTGGTTTAATTTTAATTCTGTGTTTGTGTCTACATAATATTTCTCTTTTTGGTCTTGTGTACTACTATAATGAGCATGAAGCATGATGCGATATGGAGACATTTTATTCCCTTTAACAGTGATGCCATAGTTGTGAATTTTCATGTGTCTTTTATCACTGGTTATTGGGATGTAGCAAACTAATACAACACTTTATAGCCTGCAAATGGTACATTTGTAAATTAGTTGGATGATGTCAAGCAAAAATAAAAACGTTGTTTCTGGGACTTCTTTCTATTCTGAAGGGGAAAAGAAAGAGTAGGCAGGCAGGATGAAGATGTGTTGACATTGAGATTGTCTGAGTTTTGTTTTTGGATAGGGCAGACAATGAAATGAAGTTTGTGGTTGAAGTTGAATTGTCACAGGAGGTATCATCACTTCCAGAGTTGCTTGTGGCAAAAGCCATAGCCAATGTGGTTTTTGATTTTCCTATTGTAGGCATGCTCTTGTTTAGTTATTTTCCTTTTAATGGGGAAGCAATGGCTGTTGCTTGGATGCAAACCCTCACACGGCTCCTTAGTAGCTCTACCTTTTACCACTTGGCCAAGTGGGTAGTTGAAATTTCTTGTGGTTTTCATAAATGTAATTGGGATTACAAAATGCGGGAGCAGGCGGTTTTTGCTGGTGGTGGTTGCTAGTGACAATGACGGTGTTTGTTGGTGGTGCCTTGAGAGAGGTGGTTATATTCGTTCAACCTTGGATGCTCATATACTTGGGCTTGTGTGTTAACCTGTTTTAGTAATTTGGTTGTTACTATCTTACTTATTTATGATGTGCACAAGTAAAACAGGTACGGATCCATTGATGAACGGGTTGGCAAATTGTAGAATAAATTGACAAAATTAAGTATGTGGTTATCACTTGTTAGTAGGGGTGTTAATCAAGTTGAGTCTTTTTGAGTTTGTCTATGCTCAAAGTGGGCTCGTGCTATTCAAGGATTGATCGAGCTTGGCTTGGGATTGTCTATTGAGCTCAAAATATTGTTTAAGCTCGGTTTAAATCAAATTCGAGTTGAGCGGGAGTCAAAAACAAGCAAAAATTTAAATTTTAACATTATATATATATATATAAACACACATACACATGTATATACACACACATACAAGTAAGAAAAATGAGATCACTCACTCATGAATAACTTGGGCTTAGCTCGAATATCAATGGGTATTTGGTCTAATGGTATTCTTTATATTGTAAAAGTTTGATTTTTTTGAGGTCAATGGTTCAAACTTACTTTTCCCTTCCCCTTCTCTCAAAAAAAAAAAAAAACGAAAAAAATATTAAAAAAAAATAGCTTGAATACTAAATGACCTTAAAAATTTGTTTAAAGTTGACTTATTTTATAGTTCTATTTGGTATTGTATTTTGTGGTGGTGGTCGGACGATGTGGGAGATTTGATAACAAAAAAACTCTTATCAATAGAATGAAGTCAAGTTTACTATAGGAAGTAGGTGAAGGCAGCCTACTAGAGATGTGCAAAATGATTTTAGTAACGGTTTGTTTCGGGTTAATATTCACCGATTAGGGCAGCTCAAAATTGATTTCTCTAAGCCCAAAGGACAAATGACTGTGGGAAATTGTACGTTAGGGAAGGCAGTTGGTGAACAAACTACATGAATCGAATAACAGGTTTGATTCTACCTACATGTTTATTGTAGTATTCCATGAAAATAAGTCCAAACAAATTCTACGTAATGAAATTTTTTTCCAGTGATGGGCTCTCATTCTTCCAGGCAAATTCTAGAGCATGCCTACGTAACCATTAGAATAAAAATTTAAGGTTGATCTTGGTGGCGTTGAAAGTATGAGTTTTTGGGTCATTTGGGCAGCTTGTGAAATGCAAATCCAAGTATCACAGTGTCACCAAGACCAGGCTCCCACGCTACCAGCCACCCCTGAACACACAGGCTGGCCCCTCAACCAATCCATTTATCTCTTGTTACTCACTTAGATGTGTGTATATGTGTGCATGTGTGTGTATTATATTTGTCTCTATTTGTGTGTATCTCTGTGTGCGTGTGGGTGGGTTTGCTTGTATGTGTCTGTGTGTGCATATATATTACACACGCATACATACAAATCTCTCTCTTCTTGATCTAGATATATACATATCTATTCTCCTCTCTCTTTATTATTTACTAGTAATAGGATGTGCCTAAAGACACTTTGCAATTTAAAATTTGACAAAATTTCTCCTAAAAATAATAGCTGAGGGAAGTCTCAAGTAAGGATTTTTCTAATAAAGATTGCATCATTGATTTTCAAAGTTTCAAATATTTTTTAGTCATTTGGGTTGGTCTTGCCTTGGTAGGAACATTTTTCTCATCAAAACCCTTTTTTCATTAAGGTAAACTAATAATATGTATATTTCTATCCTAGAAAGCATTAGGGATAGTGCTGTATATTTCTTGAACAATTTATTCTTGTAAGTGCTCAACTTTGTCCTTAAACTTAGGATCTCCTAATTGTTTTTCAACAGTAATATATTGAATTTCCTGTTGAATAAAACTAATTTTTTTTAGGGAGGCCTTCCCTTAATGCCATGAGGGTTATTTCTTTTGCCTATCATCTAGTGATGAATTTTTCTATGGAAAATGACATTGGGGTGGTCCGAGGAAACCAGCAAGTGGCACAAGAGTGCTACAAAGCATCTGTGAAGAGAAGGGAGATCGAGACCACACAACTGGATGAGCTCGACATGAGAGACGAGTTGGAGACAAGGCCTACGCCTTCAAAGGAACTAGAGCTAGTCTAGCTATATAAGGACCCATGACACTTGGTATACGTGGGGTCAAGGATGCTTCAAGAAATCAAAGACCTTCTTATCTAGTTTCTGAAAAGAAACATCAAGGTGTTTGCATGGAAGCAAGAGGATATGTAGGGAATTGATCCCTCAGTCATCACACACAAGCTCAACATAAACCCAACCTTCAAGCCAGTAAAGCGGAAATAGAGAAGCATTGCCTTGAAACGCTAGAAAGCCATAAATGAAGAGGTCTCCAAGATCCTCCATATCAAGCCATCAACAAGGTAGACTATTCGACTTGGCTGACCAATGTGGTCCTTGTTAAAGAAGACCAACGAAAAATGGTGCATCTACATCGACTTTACTGACCTAAATGATGTCTGTCTGAAGGACGACTTTCCTTTACCTCAAATTGATTTGACCATGGATGCCACAATAGGACATGAATAACTCAGTTTCATGGATGTCTTCTCAGGATACAATCAGATCAGGATGGATCCCAATAACCAAGAGAAAATATCATTCGTAAACGAGTAAGGGACATACTGCTATCAAGTCATGCCTTTCGAGTTAAAAAATACAGGAGCCACATATCCGCGATTGGTGAATCACATGTTCCAGAAGCAAATTGGGGCGTTCATGGAGGTCTACATCAATGTTATGCTGGTGAAATCATTAAAGGTTGAGCTCCACATCCGGCACCTCAAAGAATCTTTTCAGATTCTCAAAAAGTACCAAATGAAGCTCAACCCAGCCAAATGCACCTTTAAGGTAAAATTTCTGGGATTTATAGTCAACAGTAAAGGCATTGAGGCTAATCCAGGGAAAGTACGAGTTGTGATTGACATGCAACCTCCCTCAAACACAAGGGAGGTCCAATGTTTGACAGAAAGAATAACAGCATTGAGCCGTTTTGTTTCTAGGTCGAGCGAAAAATGTCAACCCTTCTTCCAAGTTTTGAAAAAAACATTCCAATGCGATGCATAGTGTGAATAAGCATTCAAAGCCCTAAAAAATTATCTCAGCTCACCACCTTTTCTTGTAAGCCCTCGAGAAGGAGAGGTGTTCACCCTATACTTTACTATCTTAAAGTTTTTCGCAAGTGCAGCCCTAGTAACAGAACTGGACAGAGCTCAACAGTCAATCTATTACTGCACCAATACTCTGAGGGGAGCAGAGGAGAGATATTTAAAAATGAAAAAACTAGTTCTAGCTTTGGTAACACTAGCAAAGAGGTTCAGACCTTACTTTCAAGGTTATACAGATCAACCAATAAAACAAGTCTTGCATAAGCCAAGTCGTCAAGAAGACTAATCAAATGGGCAATAGAGCTCAGTGGTTTGACATTAGATACAAAGTCAGAATTGCTATCAAAGGGCAAATATTGACAGATTTCATCACAAAATTCACGACAGGTCAAAAAACACCCTTGGATGCCACCTAGCTAATTCCTGACCTCCCAACATGGAAGTTTTCTGTAGATGGAGCAGCAAACGCCAAAGGCAGCGACGCTGGGTTAATCTTGACCTCCCCAAATGGGATAGATATAGAATATGCCCTCAAATTTGATTTCAAAGCTTCAAATAAAGAGGCAGAATATGAAGCCGTAATTGCCAAACTCAAACTAGCCCATTCCAGGGAAATAGAGCAGCTCATGATACATAACAACTCCCAACTAGTAGTGAAATAGATCGAAGAAACCTACGAAGCTAAGGGAGAAAGGATGGCTCTATACCTAAATGAGGTGCAACAACTGATGAAATAATTCATATAGGTGAAGGTTGTGCGTATTCCCCGAGCAGAGAATTCTTGAGCCAATGCCCTAGCTAGACTAGCCATTACTTCCTAGGAGAATTTGGATAGGGTAATTCCCATCGAGCACCTAGTCGAGCCATCCGTAGCTTCAAGGTCGAGGAGATGTTCCCCGTTCAGACGCAGTCAACCTGGATGGACCTAATTAAGGATTACCTATAGAATGAGACCCTTCTAGCATATTCCAAAAAAAAAATGGAAAGGCCAAGAGTTGGGTTGTCCAAATTTACCATCCTTCAAGGGAATTTGTACAAAAGAGGCTTCTCATCTCCACTCCTAATATGTGTTGGAGATGAGGAGGTAAATTATACTTCAATAGAAATCCATGAAAGTATTTGTGGAAACCACCTTGGAGCTCGAATTCTAGTTGGCAAAGCTCTGAGGCAAGGATACTTTTGGCCCACAT